AGCGTTGAACGCGCATTTCTTTGCAGACAGATCCATCTCATCGAAGATAAAGTGCTTTGTCGGCACGTAAAACTCCTCTTTCTGTTGGCAATTCAAACGAAAGAGAAGTAAGAAACGTGCTCAACTCTCTTGTATATGATACTTGACAAAAATCATGCCACAGATCGGAAGCTCAGTACGGATCAAAAATCTTTTTGTCTATTTTACTCATCAAAGGAATAGCTCTCTCTCTCTCTCTTGTTGAACATGTAGTTTCATTTCGTAATGTCGAAACCAAAGAGGGATTTTTGACTTTTGTCTATAGACTCACTTTATATTCCTCTCTTTTCTATCTGTAAAACATATCTTCTTCATATTGCAGAAAATTCATGATAAAAAGAATTTTTAATATTAAACAACTGCAAAATTAAACAACTTTTTTCAATTGTTCTGTGTATTTGCTTTATATTTCTCTGGATATTTGTATAATTGTCAAAAATTTACTTTTAAAGAATTATTAAGGATTTTTTTCATTTCTATTATATTTTGAAACATTTTTATGACAAAATAATATTTTTATTAAAAAAATATAATAATAATAATATTATTATAAATAATATTAAATAATAATAATGTTTTAATAATAATAATATAAAGTAATAATATTTTCTTGACACTCGTAAATATTATGAAAAATTTTATAATACCGATAGTTTTAACATTTTCAGGCTTCGCACTCAATTTCTAAAACCTACTATTTACTACTTTTTTACGTTATGCTACTATTTGGGAACTTATTTTAGATTTCAGCCACTAAAAGATACTATTTCTGTTTTTTTTCCAGTACATTAAATTCACTAATATTAGAAATCAAAAAACTATTCTCAAAAATTATAATCAAATTCTTTAAAACAATTCAATTATTTTCAAAAAATTTTCGAATTTCAATTATTTTTAATGTCTAGTATTTTCATAAAATTTCGCAAAAGAAATCAATTAGTTAAAAAAGAATTAATAAAACTCATCCGGAATCCAATTATGTTCATAAATAATAAAATTTCCACAGAAATTCTATTAATTTAGAATAGCATTTTCAAAAAAATTTCGAAAAAATCAATTATTTAACGAAATTTATATACAATTCTTCACAATAATTGAGGAGCAAGTTTTCAAAACTTGATAAATCCATATTTTCTTATATCGAGAAAATGAAACAAATGACTTTTTTCACATAACCACTGCAGTTAATTTTAAATTAAAAAATTTGTATTAATTTATTTTTATAACAATGTTTTTATATTTAAGACGTTCTGTTTTTAATTAAACATTATCATAATTAAGTGATTTACAGGTTTTGATAATTTGTTTTAATAAAAAACATAAAAATTATAAGTCATCTTGGTTATGTCAAAAAATTGAAAATTGAAAATTGAAATTGAAAATTTGCTCCTTAATTCAATTACTTTCACTAATAATAACATTTTTCATGAAAAAAAGAATTCAATTATTTTCATAAATAATAAAACTCATCGAAGAATTCCAATTATTTTTAATACTATTTTAAATTAATTAATCGAAAAATTCAAATATTTTCACATCTAAAATTTTCTAGAGGAATTCAATTATAAAATACAATCTTTATAATATTTATTATATTTCAAAAAAATTAATTATTTAAAAGAATGTTTATAAAATTCTTATGATGAATTCAATTATTTTCAAAAATAACAACATTTTTCACAGAAAATCCAATTCTTTTTAAACATTTTAATAAAATTCAATTATTTTCATAAATAATAAAATTTTTCCCAAGAATTCAATTATTTTCATAAATATTAAAATTTTTCCCAAGAATTCAATTATTTACATAAATACTTGTTCAAAAGAATCCAATTATCCCAATAAATAACAACATCAATATTCCCGAAAATTCAATTATTTTGGGGCATTTTAATAAAATTCTTTGCAAAATTAAATTATTTTCATAAATAATCAAATTTATTGCAGGATTTCAATTATTTGTAATACAAATTTAAAAAGAATTACTCAAAAATTTCTTCTTGGAAATTCAATTATTTTAAAAAATTCTAATAAAATCTATAAGTAAAATAAAAAAATTTAACCTAATGGAAGGTTAATTATTTTTAAAAAAATTTCGCAATTCAATGATCTTCAATATCTATACTATTTTCATATAATTTTCAAACAGAATTCAATTATTTAAAAAAAATTTTGTAAAAATCTTCGTAAGAATTCAATCTTTTAATAAATAATATATATGTATATTTCTTAGAAATTCAATTATTTAAATTAGAATTTGCATAAAATTAGTCGAAAGAAATCAATTGTTTAAAAATTTTTATAAAATTCTCCGCAATAATGAAATTATTTTTATAAATATTTAAATTCTGTCATGAATAATAAAATTCGTTTTTAGTTCGAAAGCTACTTTTTGCTACTTTTTTTAAAATGAATTATCGAGTGGGAAGTCTGCATTTTTTTATTTATTGAATTTTTTTCTATTTTTGAACCATGCAAAGTATGGCAAAGAAAGGGGAGAAGAAAAAATTTTTTTTTGTATTTTTGAAGTTTACTGTCAAAATTTTGAACTGTGGGCAAAATATGGCAAACCATGGAAAGAAGAAAAACTATTTTTTTTTATTTTCAAATCATGGGCGAAGTATGGCGCCCCTTGGGAAAAAAAGGTTTTTTTCATATTTTTAAACTATAGATTTACCTGTGGTTTGAAAAAAAAAATTAAATAGTTTTTTTCTTTTCTCGGTTTGACATACTTTGCCCATGATTTGAAAATATAAAAAATAGCTTTGGTTTTTTCCCATATTTCGCTACCTACTTTGCCCATAGTTTAAAATAATAAAAAACATTATTGTTTTTCTTCCTATGGTTCCCCATATTTTGCTTGACCATGGTTTTCAAAATAAAAAAATTTAAAGATTTTATGTTTATTTTAGTTGATTTAATGAAAACTTAATTTTTCTTTTTCGCCATTCTTTATAATTTCGTAAAATTATATTGAATATATAATTGAGTCTTTTAAGGACTTTTATTAAAATTTGTAAAATAAATTAAGTTCGAATACTTCAAATTATTATTTCTATTTAAAAAAGGAATGCTTAAAAAACTCAAGTACATAGTTGTAAAAAAGGGAAAAACATACTTTTTTTCAAAAGTATCTGATTAAAATTTAATTTTACATGCATTGATTTAGTATATTAAATTTTTAATTGCAAGGAACTAGAGGAAAACTGATCTCTGTACGAAAATTGCTTTGACTGTAATAAATCATAAGAAAATTTGCTCTAAGGCTGCAATCTCGTCGCTCTTATTTAAGCCCGAGTAGATAAATATTTGTCATTAAAGAAAAAAATATAAACGATATTCAACTGTAAAAGAATGAAGCGAAAAAAAAACCAAATTATATTTTTTTAAACTTGAAATAATAACATTTGAAATTTCTTTATTGTGCGACAAAAGCTTGGAACTCTCGATAAAATAATATATAGAATGAAAGTTTAGAGCGGAAATTGCATAATAGGAAAGAAAATCAATAATAAACAATATTTCATTGTCATTATTTGAAAATAGTTCGTGCATTATTTTTCAATTGTTTAAAATTTCTCTTTAAATTAAAACGATAGTGAAGAATTAAATGATTTTCTTTTTATTATGAAATATTAATAATTTTGATATAATAAATTGTGACTATTGATTCGAGCATACTGATGAATATTAAATGAAGTAGCAAACTAATGAAGAAGATAATGAATACAAAATTACTGATAATAGAGTAATTAAATTCAGAATTAATTTTTTTTTTTTATTTTCAAAGTGAATAAAATGAAATGATCCACTCGGTTGATAAGAGAATTCAAAAGGGTGAGTGCTCTCGCTGATAAAATGAATTTTATTCGTTTCAGTTTAATCCTGAATTCTGGAATTACATCAATCTTCATTAGCGAAAGACGAGTGAATATTTTCGCTATAGTAAATTTCGTGAGAAAAAAAAATTATATTTGATATAATATATCGTTTTAATCTCTCTTTCTTTTTTTCCCCCCCATTTTAAAAGCATATGATAATGTCTCAGAATTTATCACATCGCAAAGTTTATTTTAGGACAATTTGCATGTCTTGAATTAAGAAAACAACCAACCCTCTAGAGAGACTGTGGAAATTTATGGGACAAATATTGTATTTAATTAGTTAATATTTTGAGTACTAACAATTTTTTTTTTTTTGCAAAATTATTAAAAGCTTTAATTTAATTAGGTTTGTGTGAAATTTTAATCTATACAGGAGAAATTAGAGCTGGTATGCTGAAAGTTTCTTTGAATCTCTCAGCTTTAATTTTCCGTCGTTAGTCACCTGAAAATAGGAATAGTTTCATTGTTAACCTCTGGAATAATCCCTTAGAGCATTTGTTTATTATTCATATTATTATCGCTTGGGGTGCGTTACAAAATAAAGTTTCTGTTGAGTAATTATTCTAAAATTAAGTAGAACAGATGCCTTCTTTAATTTATTATCTCTTTCTCTCTATTGTAATAGTTGAACCCTTTGTATGCAAACCTCACAATTAAGGTAAGCAGGCAAAATAAAAATGTTTTAAAAACACTCGAGAAGTAATAATAAATAATATAAGTGGGAATAAAATGACAATGAAATGACTTGAAAGGTACGAATGAAATGAAAAGTAAAGAGTTACATGTGTAAATAATAAACAAAGAGTCATTCAATATCATGGTAAAAAAGAAATGTGTTTGGAAATCAGATAAGGCCATTAGTAATAAAGTATCAGACAAAGAAGACATTTCCGAATCCCATTATAATTCCATTTTGGACTCCACCCTCTGTTTTCCTAGGTCGCTCACCCTAACAAGGAAATTATGATCCTTCTTGATATTGAAAAAAATGAAAATGATTTTTAGAAAATATAATGATCCCTTTCTGTAATGATTTGATTTTTGAAAAAGTACATGTAACAAAATTGTGTCACTTACCAAGATTTATGTAGCATTTTTTAAAGAACTTTGGCCCGAGAATAACGCTAAGTAGTCCTAGAACACCTTGAGGGAATTCGGTGAGTAAAAAGAGGAGTAATATGGCCAATAGCATTTTTGTTGTTCTATCAGTCTGTTTCTCCTTGTCCATCAGTCTCGAAGATTTTCGTTTTTTCTTTTTACTATTGCAAAATTCAGCCGACACCTCTTCACTTTTAACCATTGTTGCCTCGGCAAGTTTTTTCCTTCTTTTTTTCGCCTCCATTAAAGCGAGTATCAACCTGAGACTCAATATAGTCAATGCTAGACATGGTATTAATTTTATAACGACACTATACATCCAGAAATTTAAAACCTTTGCTGTATCGCTAAGTGAGACGACAAAAATTGTTCCATTCGTGACACCATCGGGAAGTGTTGTCTCGTTGTATAAAGAATTATTAACATATTGTCCATCGGAATCGAACAATTGTCTTCTTTCTTGAATGCTTGTTGTCACATAAAGTGGGACACAAATTAGGGGACATATCAGATAGGCACTCACTATGGCGACAATACTTCGATGATAGCTGCACCATTCTCGATTTTTTTGTGGATGCGCCACTGCAATGTAGCGCCAAACAGCTAATGTGACTGTTAACCAAATGGAAATTGTGTGGAAGACTTGGGCGAATAGGGCATGAAAGAGAACAAACACTGTCCATCCATAGGTGAAGGTGCTTTTTGGTGGTCGAAAATAAAGATACGAATGTATCGCATAAGGGATGTACTCCAACATTACTAATAAATCAGCAACAGCCAAACCGGTGAGTATGGCATTTGTTGCGGAACACATTTCCTTTCGGGTTAGAACCGCGATATTTAGGCCGTTTGCTATTGAGCCGAATACACAAACGAGAAAACTTGCCCAGCCATGAATTGCAATATATTTCGTGTGGAAGGTGTCCAACCAACCGACACATTGTGACTCGAATGTTGAATTCATTTTTAGGCTTTTTCTTCTTACGTAGCACTTTGAAATTTGCTAATGAGGTCTAATCAAAGATTAGTCATTTTGAGAAGTGTTGTATGATTGTTCGTTGCTGATGACATTGTCAAATCACCATTTGTCAGTGTAGGCCGTTAGGAGGAATTCTTTGTGTCAACTGCACAGTATCCATAATACAATTGCAGTATTAATTCCATTTCGGTTATTATATAACGCAATAAATTTTGTTATTGCAATTGGCATATCATCTAAATGTTTCGTGCCATCATGTGCATGGAGTAGCATTTGATTATCTAACACATGATCTGTAATATCATCCACATCCCATTACTATTAATAACAAAACGTTACCTAAAGCACAATACCACCAATTTTGATTCACCCTTGTGCACATTCTACATTCCGTTGATATTTTTCACAATTTGGATGTACTCATTTTTTTTTATATTCAATTGTTTTGGTTGTTCAATTGCTTTGGGTGTTCGATTCTTTTGGATACTCAATTGCTTTGGGTGTTCAATTCTGTTTGATACTCAATTGCTTTGGATGTTCAATTCTTTTCGACATTCATTTGCTTTCGATTTACAATTCCTTTGGATGTTCCATTCTTTTGAAGGTTCAATTATTTTTTATGTTCAGTTCTTTCAGATGTTCAATTCTTTTGGACATTCAATTGCTTTGGATTTACGATTCCTTTGGATGTTCCATTTTGTTAAATGTTCTATTATTTTTTATGTTCAGTTCTTTTAGATGTTCAATTTTTTGTGGATCTTTTAAGAACTAATTTACCAGTACGTATCAAGTATTAAAAATTTTGTAGCTGTTGTAAAAAAATCAGACTTTGAACGAATTCCGGAACTTGTCACATTATGATTAACTGCTACCTTGGACAATTTAAAAGTCTATGAATACTGAATGAGGGGTTCCGCTTCTTTTGAGGCTCCTACACTCGTTTCCTTTAACGACTGTTGCTTCTCTGAACTTGAGGACCACTTGTGTTTCAGAACCACCTACTTGTGCTGCAGCAATTTTCACTATTGGGGGTGAACTAATACAAAAACTGCCTTCAAAAATCTTCGTATCCATCGAAAAGTTTCCTATCGCATATTCACATTTAGTATCACATTCCGAAAGATCGTAGGGGTAGTATTTTAATTTATCACTTAATTTTCATTTCACTGTTTTATTAACCAATTCTTTTGAAAACGATGCTTTTGAAAATCATTTTTAAGAAATGCGATGAATTTAGAAGCAGAGGCAGAATAACAGTTCCTGTTTTGATAATTATTTCTATTTGTTTTGGAAATGATTCCTTTGAGTACAACTATTTTTGGAAACGATTCTTTTGAACTGTTTTGAAAATGCTGATGATAAGTTTTGTTGATAATTTTTCAGAATAAAATTTATTTTTACAAAAGGTAAAAAGGGTTGTAATTTTGTTTTTGGTGATAAAATCTTTTTTGAAAAGTGATTAGAAATTAGGGGGCAGATGTACGAAATGAGAGAGCACTTAATTTGTGTTTATGATAATTGTAATTGGTGAATAATTTATTAATGCGATACACGAGGTGCTTGAAAACGGTATTAGATTATCGCGATCGCGCGTGCGAGAGTCGAATGATGGGAAAGTAAAAGAGCGTCGCTACGCAAGCATGAGACTCGTGCCTCTGGAGTTCTCTCTAGACGCGCCTGCGTTGTTCGGATTGTGTCACTCATCATCCACCCTTGTGTGATATCTCTTTCTCTCCCTTATACACAACGCGGTATACACTGTTTTGTTCTCAAGTTATCCCTCCTCGTCTGACTTTTTTTTTTTTTTCTACTTTCCCAAGCAAAAGCACGCTCACCTGCACTTCTCTATACGAAATAGTTGTGTTTCACTGATAGACACTCTTTACGGTTTTAATCAGGCGAATGACTCGCTGTTTTTTCATATACATCTCTTACCCGCATGCCTCTCACCAATCAATTAAGAAATCAACACACGAATGAGCTTGAAACATGCTCACCTTTCATATTCACGTACATCATCTGCAATATTAGAAGTAAACTTCTGGCTGAAGCTTCTAAAATCCGTATAGTAATAGATTCATTTGTTAATTTAATTAAAGCATGTCCGTTATGATAGTACGTGCAAGTTTTGCAATATTTCTATTGGGTAGGACATTTGATTGTAGCAGCTTGCAAAAATTGCATGTGCAGGGTTGCCACAGGTCAGGAAATTCAGGGAAAAGTCCGGGAAAGTAGAATTGGTCAGGAAAAAGTCAGGGATTTTTATTAAAAGTATAGGAGAAAATAAAATTTTTAGAATTCATAAGAAAATTCTGAATTTTTGAGTCTTTTTTGCTTTCCTCATAAACTATGAAAATACCACGAATTCTGATAAAAAAAAACCTTCAATCTTTTCTATTTCTGTCAATAATTTCTTTTTAAATAACTTAATTCTTTAAGAACTATAAAAAAATTATTACTCACAAATTTTTTAGTGAATAATTTTATTTAAATCTTTCAACATTAATTCAATTTTAAAAGAGTTGCGTTTACAATTTACAAAAATAGATTTTTGCAAAATTATAATAATTCAAATTATTCTAAAATTAGTTACATTTTTTAAAAATTATTAAAAATAATGGATTTATAGAAGAATATTAATTAAAAATAGTGAAAAAATTGAATTTTGAAGAAGTTACAAATGATTGCACAAAATTCAATTCTGTTAACAAATTTTTTTAAATACTCGTTAAAATTCCAATTATCTTTATAAATAATAAAATTCTTCTCGGAAATTCAATTATTTTCAAAAATTTTAATAAAATTCTTGGTAAAACTTTAGTTATTTTCAAACATTTTCCTCAATTCAATGATTTTAAATATCTATTTTAATTTTTCATAAGTAGTTCATAATTTTATGTTTCATAAGCAGTAAACATTTCACAGAAATTCAATTATTTAAAAAATTTTTTTATAAATATCTTCGCAATAATTCAATTATTTCCATAAATAATAAAAATTTTTACGGGAATTTAATTATTTTCATATAAACTAAAAAATTTTCTTGAAATTCAATTACTTTAAGAAATAATAAAACTCATCGCAGAATTTAAATTATTTTCAATACAATTTTAATCAAATTTCTCAAAAAATGTAATTATTCTTAAAAATTTATTAAAATTCATCGTCAAATTCAATTTATTATTTAAAAATTCCTTTACAAAATTGTTTATATGTAAGAATTTGATTTTGAGAAATATTCAATTATTCAATAAATTTACTTTTTTATTTAAATAATTGAATTCTCGTAGAATTTTCTAACAATAATTTATTTAATTTTCTAATATATATTTAATTGAAGAATTTCCTAATAATTCAAATTTCGTAAAATTGAATTGTAAACAAATGTATTTGAAAATTTGAAATTCAAAGAACTGTTTAAAAAATTATTAAAAATAATTGATTTAAAGAAGAATTTTAGTAGAAATTAGTAGAATTATGTAATTTATATAATTATTTATATAATTATTATTATATTTAGTAGAATTATGTAGAAGATAATAATTTTGAAGAAGTTACAAAAAAAATATTCTTATAATATAAAATAATGATTTTATCACGCGGTCATTTTTAATTGTTGTTGAATTTCAAAAAGGTCTAAATTTGAAATTTTTGAAAATCTTAATTCCTATGTAAAAGTAATAATGATTAAATGTTTATTTTTTTAACATAAAACTATTGATGTTTTCGAATAATTTTACAATTAAAGAAATGTTGTAAATAAATTTCAGAACATTTTTTTAAATATCTAATCATTTTTAGAGTGAATCAGAATATTCATTAGGGTCAGGGAAAAAATAAAAATTTTGTCTAGAAATCAGGGAAAAGTCTGGAAAAAAGAAAATTAAATTTTTGTCGCAACCCTGTAAATTATTTTCAAAAATTTTAATTAAATTCTATGCAAAAATTAAACTGATATAGATAGAATTTCAAAAAGTTTCAAATTAAAGTTTTGGAAAAGTTAAATTTAAAAAAATTTTTAATTAAAAATTCTGTACAAGTTAGTTTTTTAAAGCATTTTTATTCAATTTTTTTGCAATTGTATTTTTGAATATATATTTAATTTAAAAATTTTCATTTTTTGCAATTTCAAAAAATGTAAACAAGTGGATTTCAGAAATATTTTAGGTTAATAACTTTTTTTTTCTTTAAATAAATAATTGGATTTTTAAGGAACTTTCTAAAAAAAATGATTAGAAATAATTGAATTAGTGAAGAATTTTAGTTGAAAAATCTAGAAAATAATTGAATTGAATTCTTGAAAATAATTGTTGATAAATTACAATAACAATTCTTGTAAATTATTGAATTTCAAAGAATTTAAAAATTGAATTTTTTCCAAATCTTAATTTAATAATACAATAAAAAATAACAACGAATAAATAAAAGTAAAAATCAACAACGAATAAACATTTATTTCTTATAATTTAATAAAATGATAAAAAAAATACCAACGATTAAATAAAAGTAAAAATTATAACAAGGAATAAATATTTATTTAAAAAATAAAACTGTTGATGTTTTGAATAATTTTACAATTAAAGATATTGAAAAAATGCAAAAGAACATTTTTTTGAGTATATCTAACCATTTTTAGAGTAAATCAGAATTTTATTTAGGAGCAGGGAAGAAGTGAAAATTTTGTCTTGAAATCAGGGAAAAATAAAATAACATTTTTTTTGGGAACCCTGATGTGCTATCTGGAATCATAATAATTAATGATTGTAAATTTGTTTTTTAGTTAATTGTTGTTGACTAAGATTTGTTGAAAGCGTAAATTTTCTGAGATTCCACTTTCGTAATTATCTGTTATTTATATGAAAGTGTCTTAATTATTCTAATTATTTCTGTAGTTCCTAACTGGGTGCTATTATTCCAGCCTCGACTGCAAGAATAGCTGTGTTAAAACTTCTCTAAAAAGAGGCAGAGATTAGAGTAATTATTTGACTAAATTCTCTTATGCAGAAAATTTAGGTTGTTATTCAAAATTTTTATCTTTGTTGTTAAAAATGTACTTTTTTACATTGTAATATATGTACGTTTGTAAATAATAAAAAAAAAATAATAATAATAATAATAATAATAATAATAATAATAATAATAATAATAATAATAATAATAATAATAATAATAATAATAATAATAATAATAATAATAATAATAATTTAATAATGTAAAAAGTAAATTTTAATTTAAGATCAGTCTTAAATCCGGCACTGTCTGCTATAATGTTAAATCATACAAAATCCATTGCTTAAATTCAGCATTGACTGCCTTAAAAATATTGCGTCTTAATTTAAGACTGCCTTTCTACCTTAAAATAAGACTTTCTTTTTACCGTGATAATAATTATCTGGATAAAAAAGGTATTTATTGATTTTCGTACTAATTTATTTATTTTAATACTAAAATCAGTTATTTTGCTCTTTTCTTGTTTTGTGTTCTTTTCTCTTTTTTTGTTCAAGTTCTAAATTGTGTTAAATTTTTTAGTATTGTTTTTCTTTTAGTAACAAAATTTTTGTGTTGCGGTCGACGATAGGCTCTTTATGTTCTTATGTGGAACATAACATGAAAATACAACATATTCCTTTGTATTATGTTTTGTTCAACATAAGAACATAAAAATAACCTATTGTGAACATGGTCACGTACAGTTTGATATTAGTTTGATGTAAATGTCAGAATTTGTTATATGAATGAGCAAAAGTCCTTGAGGCTTGTAATGTAAAGTCGATGAACTAATATATAACTATAGAGAAGCGCCACTAGCAATGCGGTTTTGAAAGCTTATTACAAAGAGTTCATCCTTTACCAATTGGGAATCGTGTGATAATTTAGCATACGTTCCTGTATAGTTTGAATGAGATTTCTGCAAGAGTGAAGTCACTGTTAAATGTATATAGTGAGAGCCGATTATTTGAGATCTCGTTTGAGTAACTGCGAGTTATGCGGGTACGCTAACTAAATAAATTACTGGGAATGCCAATTCTGCATGAGGAATACCGGGTACTTTGGGACTGTTGAATTCCCATCAAGTTGTACCCACTTCCTTCAGAATTAATTATCATTCACTTAATTAGAAGAATTACTTACTGCATAATTTCGTCATGTTGCAGTATTCATAACGTGCACTACGCTACATATTGATTTGAGTTAGAAATACGAGCAGACTTATTACTTTACTTTTTTGAAGTTTTGCGACTTTTGTTTGGGATGACGTTCTAAATACGCTGTTTAAAAAATATTTTTTAGAGTAAATAATTTTTCAAGAATTAGCTCAATAATTTACCTATAAATTTGTTTGGGATGACTAGCTAAATCCGCTATTTAAAACATATTTTTTAGAATAAATATATTTTGAAGAATTATAGTTTAATCATTTATCTATAAAGACTAAAGAAATAAATAACAATCATTTTCAAATAACAATTTAAAAAGAAAACTAGTACTTTTAGTGGAATTATTTAAAACATTCAATTATTTTGAGAATTTAAACTAAGATTTACACTATACACACTGAGAAAAAATGCTATTCTTAAAAATTATAATCAAATTCTTTAAATTAATTCAATTATTTTCAAAAAAGATTCGAATTATTCAATTATATTCAATATGTCTAGTATTTTCATAAAATTTCGAAACAATCAACTATCATTTAACCAAATTTTTATACAATTCTTCACAATAATTCAAATACTTTCACTAATA